GGAAAACTCATGTCATTGTGGGTGGCACCATTCCTTAGAGAGTGAGTCCATAATAGTAAAAGAGAGGGAAGACTATCTGGGAGGAAGCAGGCAAGGCTGTGTTTTCTCTCTCCCACCTGACTGGAAATGATGTGGAGTGCTTGAGATCCTGCCTTGACTTCCAGATCAACCCTTCCTTCCCCTATGCTGCTTTTTGTCAGGGGTTTTTGACTTTTTAATCACAGAAATAAAAATGCAACTTGAACAAACTGGTTTCATTTTCCTTCATTCCAATAATCATTCAGTGGGCTGTCTCACTCTGAGACTCATGAACTTTAAATGTGCAAAAGTCTTGCTTTCTGACTTCAGTGGATTCTGTGTCCTTTGACTTTTACATGTTTGCCTTCCATTCCTTTTTACTAACACTATTATTCTATTGATGCGGATTCTTGGATTTTCTCATTAATTTTTGTGTTTATTTGCATTTCCTTAGGTGGAAATTTCTCATGCCTTCACCTCTTCTGTGTCACAGGACTCCTTTCCTGCCTATCTTTGTTTCTCAGAGCACACCACCTTGTTTCAGAACACATTGTTCTTGCTCAATGAGTCTTCTGTCCTTCTTGTCTTCAGACAATAGTGATGATGTGCGAAGTGGGGTTTTGTTCATCTGCTGAGCTGTTTTGGCTTCTGCTTTTTACTTTAAAATTTTCTCATCAATGTTTCTCCTTGGCTTTTCACTCATATTTAAGAGCTGAGCAGTGAAGCTGTAACTACTGATCTCTGAGGTACAATTTGACCATGAACTTCAGATGGGGCTTTTCTCTTGGAAAACACCTGAGTATCAGTATTTTATATTTAGATTTTGGAGGATTCTTGAAAATACTCATTACACTTGTGCAGGCAGTGTTAGCCATGTTCCAGCAGTCAGTATGGCCTTCTTCTTTCCCTAATAGTCAATTTTGAGTCTGCATTCTGTTGTGTTCAGTGTTTCCTAGCACCATCTTGTAGGCTGGTGGCACCACAGCCATGTGACAGGGTAGAATACAGATGAACTGACTGAACATCTAATTCTTAAATAGACTTTCGCCCCTCACTTTCATCTGCTAGTGCCTAGATTTTCCTTCTGTGTTGTAAATCCAATTATTTCCTTTTCTTCCTGTGCTATGTTGGCATTTGGCTTTCAATGTCTGAGAAGGCAGGCATCACCTTTATCTGCTTTCTAATTTCAAAACTTTTATCCTTTGTAATTCTCATGACCCTTGCAAATATGCAAACTTAAACACCAGAAGAAAGAAAAGAAAAATATAGAACCTCATCGGGTCTTTGAGGAGGGGTAATTGTAAGCACATGCCTTTAAAGGGCTCTTTACCTAGATGCTTGTTTGCATCTAGATACTTTTAGTCCTGCACAATTATCAGTTTGCTCTTTAAAGGCTGGAAACTCTCCATGGTGATGTGTGCACCTGTGAGTGTGTCTCCTGCTCTCCATCTCATGGCTAGGAGGGGGAGGCAGCACTTGGTGACATCACAGCCCCAAGGAAGACTTTACAATGTGGGAGAAGAATACAAACCAAGACCCAATGTTCTGTTGAGTTGTAAGGAATTGTTAATCTTCTTTGCATCTTACTTCTGTTGCTGCCAAATGATAGAGGCAGGGTCTGTGCGTAGTGTGTTAATGTGCAATGGAGAACATGGAGCACACTGACTATGTTGTTTTGGGAACAAATTAAAACAGTATTATCAGTTGGTTCTCTGAAAAATCAAATAGATTTCAAGGGCTTTCTTTGTGTGTGTGCACGGTGCGCACGCACGCGTGTGTGTGTGTGTGTGTGTGTGTGTGTGTGTGTGTGTGTGTGTCCACGCGCGTGCACATTTAACATTTTCTGCCTGTGTCTAGGTAAGTCTTGCTATAAAGTCACCATGATCCTGGAAGCTTCCTGTGTAGCTTTCTCTTCCTAATGCATGCTTTCTTTTTTAAAGTCGTATCACTTAAATGCCTTCATTTATATTTCTGAGTTCTTCCATGCTGCCCTCGAGGTATCGTAGAGATCATAAGTTTGTCTTTGAAAACTCAAATCTCTGACCTCAGTTACTTTCCCTGTTTGTCTGTCCCTATTTTCCCTCATAAACTCAGCCAACCAGCAACTCTTAGTGTACCCTACAGGCCCTTCAATTTTGCCTCTATTTCACAGAGCCTCTTTCTCCATCTGCAACTATCTGTTGCAAGTCATTCCTCATAGGTGGACACATCCTTACCAGGTTCACAGGTAAAAAGTTTCAGCCCTGGAAACATTTAGCAGCACATCTGTTCTCACATTTATTCATGCATGTATGTATGTATGTATGCATGCATGCATTTCATATATGTGTGTGTGAATAGATGTGATTAGACATTCACAGATATATGTGAATATATATGTGTGTGAATTTCTGCTCACATCTATTCACACACACACACACATTATATATATAGAGAGAGAGAGAGAGAGAGAGAGAGGGGGTGCTAAATGGTAATTTTTATATATACTCAAGCCTGTCTCATTCAAACTCTTTGCAAGTCCGGGTATTCACATTTGCTTCATACCACCTTTACTGGGATGTTAGGAGAGCTGCATGCCTATCATGTATCTACTTCTATTTTATGCTTCTCTACTCACTGGAATATGGGTTCTAAAAGGGGTCCTACAGGTTGAAGAAGATACAGTGGTAAGAGCTGTGAGATGGCTCAGTCGGTGAAGTGCTGGCTGTGCTGGTGTGAGACCTCCTTTCAGATCTGGCACCCATGCAAATAGACAGCTATGGAGGTGAATACCTACAAGTTCAGTGCTGGGGAGCTAGAGAGAGACAGGAGGATTCGTGGTGTTTGCTGGCTTGTCCATTTGAATTGATAAGGACTAGGGTGGAGGACTAAGAAGATCTTCATGCCACACAAGGGTAGAGATTGGAGTTCATATCCCTAGTACCCATGCAAATGTTATGTGGGTGTGAGCTCAAATGTAATCATAGTGATCTTTAAGTAAGTCAGACCCAGGGCAAACTGTCTAGCAAGACTTGCTGTATTGATGAGCTTGGATTCAGTTCAGTAACTCTACCTTAGTGAATAAGGTAAGGTGGGGAGTGATTGAGGGAGACTCACAATATCAGTCTTGGGTCTCCACATGCACATACATACATGTGCACATGTACCTACTTACACAGGTGTCACACACATGAGCATGTATGTACACATGATATACACCACACATATTCACATGCAAAACTAAATGAATAAAATATAAGGTGGAGAGTTATCAAGGAAGACAAGTAGACCACTGCCTCTACATACACATATATACACAGACATGCACACAGGGACACAGAAGTCAGATGTGGCAGGCTGCTTGGCTCTGGAACCCATGTTGTTAACCATTAATCTGCCTTCATTGTTGTGGTTGCCACTGAGTCCCTGGTTGCTATGAATGATCATAGTTTCCTCTTTATAGGATTGTGATAGTGTTGACTATCCTGTCCATGAACATGTCACCTCCCTAGATAATAATGGCCTCTTTCTGCACATCCAGTAGTCATCTTCCTCTAAGACTTCACATACTGATAGCCCCCTTCATGGTTATCATCTCTCACTTATGATGTCTCATACACATCTTCTCAGAGCTGTAATTCTTGATCATACTGGCCTGACATTATTATTGTGTCACAATAAGCTATGGCCCAACACCACTGCACTTATTCATAAGTCTTAAATTTTAAGTGCTGTGAATGGCTTATTTTTCCAATGAATCAGAGTCACCCCAGAGTTACTCTCATTAGATACAACATTGCCTCATTTGGATCTCAATACTAGATCCTGAATTGTTTGTGATGGAAGATTGGCCATAACTGATTGGCTCAAATTTCTTGAAATATCTATGATCTGTTGTAATTTATGTGTCACCGATAGTTGTAGCAATCCTGACAATGGTTGTGACAGCACTCACAAGATCTGTGCAAGATCAAGCCAGACAGAATTCCAGCTTAGAAGGGGACAGGTGGACACGAATTACCATTGCTAGCTGAGAAATGGTAGGTAACTGATACCTACTGAGAGGGAAGAGTTAGATATCTTTAGGATGTAGTCACAGGCAGATCTGCATTCTGTTGAAGAAGCAAACACATTCACAAGCACTTAAACATAAAGCTTATTCTGCCCATATCCACAAACAGAGATTATATAGGCAATACCAAAGAGACTGAGTGGTTTGTAAAAATATAAGGACACAGAGTTGGATAATGAACTGAGGAATAGGGTCAAAATGTTCAAAATACAATGGTTGAAATTATTGAAGAATTAATAAAGATATTTAAAATAGTTATAACAATTCTGAAAGAGTATAGTCCATTAACTGTGGATATATGTGTGTATATATGTATTTGTTTTCTTGAATTTCTACATAGTTAATTAAGATGAGAGGCTAACAAACCATGTATCCTCACACACAGAAATGAGGGTGAGGCTATCCTTAAAACTTCCACATCAAGAGCAGAGAAATCATCCAAATAAGGGATTCAGTCAGCCATGCTCTTTATATTAGCATGAACAACATGGAAATAAAGTTTCTCTACATTTTAATGTTGAGATTATAATTATTTTTCTTAGTCTGTGTTACTTCACACTGCTCTTCTTATGTTACCTGGGGAGACCTGAATGGTATCTTTGATGTATAGTTTGGGCAGAAGCTGGAAGGAGGTTGAGGTGGTAGATATGATCAAAATACAATGTATACATGTCCTAAATTTTCAAAAAATAAAATATTAAAACTCATATTTGCAGAGTACAGCATATACAATATGATGCATGAATTTATTACCCAACCCCAAAATGTTTGTAGCTTTTAGTGTCAACATCCTATCTTTCCCTTTCTGTTTCTTACTAGAATAGAATGTCAAACAGAATGTAAGGGAGGAGAGAGAATTGTGACTCAAGAAAGAATCACTGGTTCAGAACTCCAGTGAATGTCATCTTTAAGCAAGAGCAAGAGGACAGCCATGCTAGTGAAGATGCTGGCAGCAGCCAGCTGCTCTGTGAAGGCAATGTTCCATCCTGCTGTTCTTGGCCATTCTAGAGAAGTTGTACATAAGCTTGTGATCCCCTGGAGAAATGTCCTCTTACATCACACAATGCCTCCCCCAGCTAAGTATGGTGGAAGGCACACAGTGACTATTATTTCTGGAGATGGCATTGGGCCTGAGCTTATGGTTCATGTCAAGAGAATATTCAGATCAAATTGTGTGCCAGTGGACTTTGAGGAGGTGTGGGTGACCTCTGCATCTAGTGCAAATGAAGTTGACAATGCTCTTATGGCTATCCGACGGAACCGAGTTGCTCTGAAGGGCAACATTGCAACAGATTACAGACTGCCTGCCAGTTACAAATCTTACAACACCAAGTTTCGCAGCGTTCTTGACCTCTATGCCAACGTTGTCCATTTCAAGACTTTTCCTTGTGTGGAGACCCGGCACAAGGACATAGACATCTTAGTTGTTCGGGAAAACACAGAGGGAGAGTACACTAACCTGGAGCATGAGAGCGTGAAAGGGGTGGTAGAGAGCCTAAAGATTGTGACAAAGGCTAAGTCTCTGCGCATTGCTGAGTATGCCTTTAATCTGGCTCAAAAGATGGGGCGCAAAAAAGTGACAGTTGTTCACAAAGCCAATATCATGAAACTGGGAGATGGGCTCTTCCTCCAGTGCTGTAAGGATGTGGCAGCTTACTACCCCCAGATCACCTTAGAGAGTATGATTATAGACAACACCACCATGCAGTTGGTATCCAATCCCCAACAGTTTGATGTCATGGTGATGCCCAATCTTTATGGCAACATTATCAACAGTATCTGCACAGGGCTGGTTGGAGGGTCAGGACTTGTACCTGGAGCCAATTATGGTGACTTATATGCAGTATTTGAGATGGGTTCAAAGGAAATAGGTAATGATTTGGCTCATAGAAATATTGCCAATCCTGTGGCCATGCTGCTAACCAGCTGTATTATGCTGGATTACCTAGATCTTCAGGCCTATGCCACTGAGATCCGCTCTGCAGTCATGGCATCCTTAGAAAACAAAGCCATCTGCACACCAGACGTGGGAGGTCAAGGCACTACATCAGGCATCGTGGATTACATCCTGGAATATATGAAATGTCATAGAAGCGGTTGTCATGCAAATTTCCTCCAGTTCAACAATTGACTCACCCACTCAGAAACTCCAGCCAGCTCATCTTAGCATGAATAGAGAGTCAACATTGGCTCCAATTCACTGAAAGGGAAGGGGGATCAGTTTTGATCTTTCCATTAATTTTAAATGCAATAAAATTGCTTATTTGAATTATCAAAGCTTATTGCAATATGGACAACTGGAGGAATTTCCCTGAATGTTTATTCCAAAGTCCTCACCTTTCTGGGATATGACATGCTGAATACATCAGAACTCTTCATAAAGTTCTGGAGCTTTCTCAGAACCAATAAGTGATTTCTCTTTTTATCGGGACCATTGAAATTCAGCAATCCAGCCTAACGGGGATATCCTGGTCTGTAGAAGTTATTAATGAGTTGATCAGTGTGATAGAGTTTGCCTGCTAAGTATACATTATAACTTTAATAATGAAGCTGATCTAGTACAGAAAGCTCCCATGCCCACAGTGTCCTTTTCCCTTGATGATGTTTAAGGTATCTGTGTTAGGAATCCCCTGTAGCATTTCAATGCTATATGAGTTCCCTTCTGAACCTCTAAGGTCTCCTAGAAAGGATACTCTTAAACTTCTTTCAGTTGTACTAAAAATGTGGCAGTCAAATCCCTCCAGAGTCACAGAGCCCAGTGTTTTCTGTTATATAAACAGAACCTTGGAAAACAAGCCACACATTCAGTGATTCACAATTTCTTGTGGTTCATTTACCAAATAAGAAAAATTGCATGTAAAAATCAAAAGCCATGAATGAACTTTAATACTTGCCATAATCTTATTACCTTTTATTTATAGTACTGTAAAAGTTATAGTTGGGAGTAAGGCAAACAAAACCTTATTCATACCTGAAGTTCTTTTTCAAGTAGAAAATGTAAAAATGATCATACAAGCTCACAATAATTTTATCAGAAGGAATAGCATGCGGATGAAATGAAATTGAAAGAAGCAGAGGGATCTGCAGTGTCTTCATGTCTCACCTATCAGCTATGAATGTAGGCATGCTTCATTACCACACATTAAGGTTCTTTATCCAAGACCATGAAAAGGTCCCAGAGTAGCTGGCTCACTTATCCTAATGAGTATATCCATAGCCAGGCTTGTTGGATGGATTTTGCATTTGGAGGACGTGTTTGACAATCCTACATAGAAGATCCTGAAGAAGGCATGCAGGCAGGCAAGTGGGAATTTAAAACAACTGGGGTAGTGTTGATTGGTAGCCCTCCTCTTCTTACATCAGCCAGATCTACACTAGTGCCATTGTTTGGTGAACAGAGCAAGGGTTTATCCTGCTGTCTCCACCTACTATGCTGTCATGGCCAAATGAACTAACCTATACCCCACTTTTGACCTTTTTTCTCAACACAAGAGGTACATAGTGATTAATACCAATTTTGAGCATGACAAGATCTACAACTACTTAGAGGATAAGGATTTGGAAGATCCTATGAGGGACTATCTAGATTGTTAGTCTTTGGGCATGTCTATGATAACTGTCTAAATTGGGTAAATTGAGATGGGAAAACCAATCCTAACTGCCAGACAAGTAAAAAGAAGAAAGTGAACTGCACACAGGAATTCATTGTTCTCTGCTTCCTGACTGAAGGTGCCATGTTACCAGCCACCTCAAGCCCCAGCAATTAAGTCTCCCCATCATGATATGCTTGAAATGTAGGCCAAAAGAAACCCTTGCTTCTTTAAGTTGCTTTTATCAGGGTATTTTAGCATGGATACAGAAGTTGGTAATACTGGGACTTTATTCACAGCCTAGCCAGTTCGACTGTGGACAGATGCTCAACAGTCAGCAAATGTTTAACTGTGGGGGGGGTTATGATGTGTTTTAGATAAAATGTATCCCCAGGTTAAATATTCGTCCCTTGACACCCTCTGGACCAGACTCTGGAGGTGACAGCCTGTCACCCTTTACTGTCGTTCTCCATTATCATTGTTAGACTCCTCTACTTGAGTATCTGTAGGAAACAGGAAACATGGTATGAAGCTATTCTTCCTTCTTCCCTGTATCTTTAGCATGATGACTGATACACAGGACATAAATAATTGCATTTCTTTGAAATAATGAAGCAGTGACACTGACTTGATACTCTTACATATTGAGTAAATAATAATGGTGCCTATCTTGTAGCATTGATAAACACACATAGAAAGGGTCACGATTTCACTGTTACCAGTATATAGTAGGTTTGCAAAAATACCATCTTCATTATTGCCTATTGCATGCCGGGTGAATGATGATCATATTGTATATAGATTAGTATTCCATAATATACTTTCACCCAGGAGAGCAAACTACCTTCATTAAGTACCCCAATTCTCTCTCCATTTTATTTCTTTTCCCTTTTTGCTTATGTGTGTCTGGTATGCATTTGTGTGTATGTACATTTCTGCACATGTGTGGGTGCATGTGGTATGAACATACAAGTGTGTGCATTGGGAGTTTCCCAGTATCTGTTACTTCAATGTATCCCATGTTAACTTGTGTCTACTTGTAGTTTAGTGTCTTCTTTTTAGTTTATGTTACTTTCTTTTCTTCTGTTTCCTACAATGTACCTGATATGTTCCTTCTGAAATGCAATAGAATCATGTCAACTCCTTACTCAAGACTTTCCATTCTGTGACTTCCTGTTGTCTTTTAGAGAAATCCAGCTAAGCAAACACAGTGTGCTCTTGGCTGTAGGGGTGATTGAGGAATCCATCACCACACAGTCAGGACCAGGCTCTTCACTCACACTCACCCTAAGTATTTATGGAAGGAAGCAAGGAGTGAGTGAAATGTTCCAGGCACAGAGAAGTGTTGAAAACTAGAAGAAGTAATTTATTGCACAACACTCATGTCTAGCTTTCATCTACAAACTTCTTCAACACTGTTCCTTTCTAAAGAGTGCTGGGCAGTGAAACAGGTGCCTATTGGTATGGTCCCTGAGTTTGCTTTATTACACTCAGTACATCATCTCACCAGTCTGCATTCATCCCATCATCTCATTTTTGTCTTTATGAGTTACTCTGCTTTGCTTTTAGTTCAGAATATAAAGAGCAGCAGCATTCTCTCTAACTTCATTTTCACCAACTCTCTGTTTTGATTGATGGTCTTACAAATCCCTCTGTCATTTAAATAGTAGAGTTGGCATTCATCCCTAGTCTGCTTCACTTAGGAGGTATGTTGACACTAGAAAAGCTGCTTAACCTCTCTGACATCTGGTTTATTTATTATTTTAGAAGTTCAAAGCCTACCTTCATGGGGATATAAAATTTTCTCTGGTTGTCTTTTGCTAAATAGCTTCCCAATTTAATTGTTTAGGACAAATGATTGTGTGTCATGGTTCTGGAGGTTAAAGGGAATGCTGGGAATGATTGGGGCACCCAAGGTGGCTTCCTGGAAGTTCACAGTAATTGCTGCCTGTCAGAATCCTCAGTTCTTTCCCACATGAAATTTTGAGGTCATTGCGTCCTTCATAAACATGGCATGTGGTTTCTAAGCTGAAAGACTAAGGCTATAGATTTCTTAAGGCTTAGCCTTGAAAGTGTCTCAAGACTGTTTCTTCCACAATCTGCTGGTTAGAACAGCACTAGAGATACAGCAGATCTAAGAATATGGAAATGGTTAGAGGGTTAGGGTTAGCATTGGGTCTGGGCGAGAGATACGGTCTCATGGCTTACAGTGCAGTGGAATACAAAGTGACATGTGGCCATATATGTAAACACTCTTGACCATAATCATTCATTTCTGCATCTGCTTTGTTTGCTGATAGGTACTGCTTAGTCAGACGTTGCTCTTCTGATTCCCTCTTTACCTCCTCACCTCTTACTTAGCTTTAGGATCTGTGAATTCTGCTCTGTAATGTGCCCTGTGTCAACTCCATCCCCACTCACTTCTATGCTTTTGCCAACTAAGGGTGATTTAAAGAACCCTCTACTAACATAACAAGTTTGAACACCATCATCTCACATTTTGTCTTGCAAGAACAACTCATCTACTTGATAATAGTCTTAATGTATCTTCCTACTCCCTCATGTTCTCCTCCCCCTCCTCTTCTCCTCTCTTCTTTCTCCTACCCACCCCATCCCTGTGCTCCCAATTTGCTCAGGAGATCTTGTCCCTTTTGCCTTCTCCAGCTGGTCCATGTATGTCTCTTTGTTTCCTAGCTTCTCTGGAGGTGTGGTAATTCTTAGCTTTATCCAGTAGCTTATGGAAGAAGAAGCAGAGATCCACAGCTAAGCACTGAGCCAAGCTCCTGGAATCCAGTTGTAGAGAGGGAGGAGTGATGAGCATAGGGGTCAAGAACATGCTGGGGAAACCCACAGAAACAGCTGACTTGAGCAAGTTAAGAGCTCATGGACCCAAGTCTGACAGCTGTGGAACCAGCATATGATCAAAACAGGCCCCCTGAATTTACGTGTCAGTTGGGGGGCCTGGGCAGTCTATGGCACCTTTGACAGTCGAACCTGTATTTATCCCTAGTGCATGAATAGACTTTGGGAGCCCATTCCCCATGGAGGGATACTCTCTCAGCCTAGATACATGGGGAGGGCCTAGGTATAGTAGTAAATTACCAATACGGAGTCAGGTAGAAATATAAGGGTATTTAATAGGGAAAAGCCTTACTTACAGAGAGGACCAGCCAGCCGGTGGTAGTCTGTACAGCAAGAAGCAAAGAGAAACCGAAACCGAAAACGCAGTCCCCCTACTCACTCTGACCACGCCCTCACAAGCCCTCAGGTACTCTTGTAGCCAGCCCCTAAGAAGGCGTGGCTACAGCTTCCCCTACA